CGGCAGCGGAGAGGGGGGGGCACGCCGCTTGCTCACCTCTTGCAGGATCTGCCCTTAGAGCCGGGAATCGGGGAAGACGCCACGGGACCCGGGAGGCAGCCCCGGGGGGATGGACGGGCTGACGCGGGAGAAACCGCAGAGGCTGAAGCGAAACTCGCAGGTGGCAGAAAGCTCTCGGCGTAGCTGGGTGTTGATGTGATGCTCTGTTTCTCTTTCAGGCCGCGCTTCCAAAAGCGACTGTATTGGATTTGTCCTGTAACAACCTCATTTCCTTGCCGGTAAGGCACTAGAGAGCCTTTGTGGGGGTGAATCTGCTGGGGAGTAGTTAGAAAAGACGACTGGTGCTTCAGTCTGTGTTCACCAGGGGGTTTGGAACTGGCATTTTCCTCGTCCTGGGGCGGCTGAATGACTCTGCTGTCAGTCACGGGTCACTGGTGGGTGGTGTTGGCTGAGGCGGGAGAGAGGAAAGGGTGAAGATTGCAGCATCCTCCTGCCAGAGGATCCCCACGTGGATACAGGCCGGTTTCGGCAGCAGTGGACACTTGGGTTTGTTCCTGTTGCGATGCCAGACGTCACCTTGTCCGTCTGTCTGTCCCACTGTTTTCCACCTCCATCTTCCGAGGCAAAGGAGGAGAGCCAATTTTCCTCCGTCGCAGTTCTGTATTAAGTTAAGGATTTGTGGCTTACGTAAGAGGCCGGCAATTTCCATGTTCTCCCGGTTGAGGTTCTGTCATGAAGGTGCTGACAAGGTTTTTCTGGGTTTTAGTCAGATTTCTGCAGTTTGATGCATCTGGTGAAACTGGATTTGAGTAAAAACCGGCTTCAACAGCTGCCGTCGGACTTCGGGCGCCTGGTCAATCTGCAGCACCTGGACCTCCTGAACAACCGTTTAGTCACTCTGCCTGTCAGCTTTGCGCAGCTCAAGGTAAAACTGTTGGCTGGGCAGTTACGTAAAGCTTTGGGATGCAGCCCAGGGTCTTGTGATCCTTCTCAGGTTGATTTCTTTGGTAAACCATCCATCCTGCTGACTACCCGTTCTAAAATTCCGCTGGCTCTGCACTGCAGCTCAGTGAAAGTTATCTCACATCTATTGAAAACGTCTCTGCCCAAGCTTTTTGCTTGTCTTCCGTACCTGTTCCCTTCATGTGAAAACTAAGAAGTTCTGTGCTTCTGCTGTGGGTCTCCTAAATAGTCGCAAGAGTACTGTGCTCTTACTGTATTGTTCCTTTCTGCAGAACCTGAAGTGGCTGGATCTGAAGGACAATCCCCTGGATCCTGTCCTAGCTAAAGTGGCAGGAGACTGTCTGGATGAGAAGCAGTGCAAGCAGGCTGCCGTCAAGGTAAGGGATCTGCTTGTATTCTTATTTTCCTCACTTGGCTTTGTCGGTGGTCGCTGTTTCTCTTTTTGCTTAGCGAGCTGGGCAGCTGCTGCAGCAGTTTGAAGTTTCTTCAGCCTGTGAGGTGCGGACGCGCTGTGCTGCCTTCCCCGCTTCTGTGCCTGTAGGGAGCAAACACTGGGCTGAGTGGGATTCCCTTCCACTAGTGGAGTTGAGAGGACTAAGTGCTGGTTGCCAGGAAAGCGGAAACGTAATTGGATGAAATAATCCGCGTCTAAGCTTACAGTCCAGAGTACAGAAATCTCTGGAGAAGCTCTGGCAAACGAGAGGCTCACATAGGAGTGTTCTGTGATCCTCTGTATTGGCTAGCACCGATCGGGCAGATTTGTTTTTTTAACAGAAAGACCTGTTTCTTAGCTGCAACGATTCATGCGGGAAGGTGTGAGCTGTCCTCAGAGCCATACCAGCAGGGCTAAGGCAGGGCTGGTGCTCGGCCCTGGCTACGCTCCCGCTGCTCTGGTTTGAACTGAGCGTGCAGCGAGCCTCCCGCAGAGCCCTCAGGTTGTTTTCTTGCACCCTGAAGGTACTGCAGCACATGAAAGCGATCCAGTCAGAGCAGGATCGGCAACGGCAACGGAAGCTCCAAGCAGAGCGAGGTAAGCACAGAAAGCCCTCACGTGCTGCCTGCTGAGGACTGTTCTTGATCTCTCTCGCACACCCAAATGTACTGATTGCCATCCAACAAATACGTGTGACTATCAAAATCCTGAGGACCCTGGGAGAGTAGGGTAGAAGGGCTGGAAGGAGAAAGATATCCGGGGATAACTGTGTGATTTCTTACCTGAGTAATAGATCTCTAGAGGAAATGAGCTACAGGTTACCTATAAAAAATATGGAAAAAGAGCACAGGGTTTATTTTGAGGGAGCAAAATGCAAGGTATGTAACATTAAAAAGAAAAACAAAAGATTAAAAAAGAGGATAGTTACTTGATTTGTTTCCTCATTCCAACTGGGAACAGATAAGCAGGTAATAAGGAAGAATGCAATGGCAACCCTCTACATATAAGGTAAAAAACTTCCTGTTAATCCCCAGAAATGGAGAAGAAGCGTGAAGCAGAACAGCGAGCAAAGGAGGCTCAGGAGAGGGAGCTGAGGAAGCGAGAGAAGGCAGAAGAAAAGGAACGCAGAAGGCGGGAGTATGATGCTCAGAAAGCTGCAAAACAGGAAGTGGAAAAGAAAACTAAAAAAGAAAACGTGCAGACCAGAAGTAAGTAGTATCCATTGTGGGTGGGACTGCGGCAGGTTTCATCTTCAGGTCGATTTTGATGCTGCCAGATTTGCTTATATGCAGCCCAGGTACTGGGAGATGGTGAGAGTGGAGGGGGAAAGACCTGTAGGACTTCTAACAGGCTCTGCCGCTGTGCCCTTCCCCCTTCATCTGTGTTCCCGATGAACTGCTGAGCTACCAGGTTCAGACAGGTCTTCAGCTGCTCCTACGGGGAGCATCATAGAATCATAGAATGGTTTGGGTTGGAAGGGACCTTAAAGATCATCTAGTTCCAACCCCCCTGCCATGGGCAGGGACACCTTCCACTAGACCAGGTTGCTCAAAGCCACATCCAGCCTGGCCTTGGACACTTCCAGGGATGGGGCAAAGACATCCAGGGATGGGGCATCACGCATCTCCTTTTAAATGTACTGAACTGGATGTGCAAAACCAGATCTGGTGCTTTGCGCCCTGTTCGCTGCCTCCCATGAAACTGCGTCTGAAACGTTTCAGCCCAAACAGGTACATCCTGTGCATCTGTTTATTCACCAGTTAAGGGATGAACATTCACGACAAAAGACAACTGCAGCAAGGGCTAAATCAGCTTACCTGAGCGGCTCGTTTCTCGGTGGAGATTGTTAAAGGTGGTTGATTAATTCCTCACGCACTCTGTCTTGTAAATGGTCTCCTTACAGAGCCGGCCTCCAGTTCTCGTCCCCCTCAGCCAGCCAGGCACAAGCACTCCTGGTCGCGGTCAGTGCTGAGGGTCCTGCTCTGCGTGCTGCTGTGCGTCCTCTGCGTTTTGGCCGCCTGCAAGCTGACGGAGCTGCAGCGTCAACCTCTCTGCGTCAGCGTCAACACTCTCTACGAGGACGTGGTAGCCGCTCTGCAAAACCACAAAACCCTGCAAAATATGCTACAACAGAACTCGCAGCAGTGATTGGCCTGGGTAGGCGCTTGCTTCATTGGCATCTCCCTCCACCACCTACGCAGCCAGAATTCCTATGGAATTGTGTTCTGGTGAAACTGCTTTTAATCAGTCAGCATTGGTTTGCTGGTCCACTCCACTCACAGAGCAGAGTTATTGTTCAGATCATCTTTGCCGTGCATGTGTCGCAGTTGGCCTGTACCTCCCGTGGTTTGCCCACATTAACCTAAACTTGTTACCACTTCTTACCTCGGAGGGATGTTTACCTAGATTGGGAGATACAGGAAGCTGCCACACTATGGGAGTGGGAAAGACCAGCCCTTGCGTTATCTAGGTAACTGTAGCTGTCCTGGAGGTAAAAGGTTTTTATACATATCCATTCCTTGCTCTCATTTCTGTTTGTGCTAAAATTGGTGATACGGCTGTGTGGGAACAATGCATTAAGGCGTACTCCAGGACCAATTACAAGTGTGTAGGATGGCTGTGTGTCTGGATGTTGGGGCGAAGAAGCTGATGTACCACTGAAAGGAGCTGAAAATTTTCAATACAACAGTTTTCGCAGCAATTTGTGTGAACTGAATGTTTATGTTGCTCATGCAGTTGTCCTTTTCATTAGGTCTTTTGGAAACAGCCCCAAATCATTTCCGAGCATGTTCATTTTAACCAGCTAGTGCCAACGAGGCGGCCGCAGCTTAGGAGGGGCTTCTGGACAGTCTCCAGGCCAGTTCTGTGTCTGCGGGCGGGGGGTGGCTGCAGCAGTGACACGCAGCACTGGGTGGCACTGTGGCAGCACGGCCCACCCAGGCGGGCAGGCAGAGAAGGGCTTCCCCTCGGGGCTGTGGGGAAGGCCGGGAGGGTTGTGGGCTTGCCCCTAGAGAAGAAAACTCGCCTGCGCAAAGGCCTATGAATTACTGATCATTTCCTTACAGAGAAAACTGAGAAAAACAGACAAAAAGAGAAGATTGTCATATCCTTTGGAGTGCTACAGTGTGAGTAGAGTGTTGTTACATGCAGCTCTCGGAGACTGAGGCTACATTAGTCACCAGAATTGCTCCCTGTCCTCTGACACCCGGGATTATTGCTGATAAGGGCAGTGTTATGAGAAACTAATCTACAGTAATTCATGCCAAGGTCATTATCAAGGCAGTAAACCTTCACCTTTCTGTAACATGAAGGCTGTGGTTCCCCACGTACCACGTAGGAAAATGTGACAGCACAATACAAGATAAAAGGGAGGAAAGGCTGTCTCTGGCTATAGCTGTGTATGTGTTTTCTGAGCTCCCTTGAAACAGCTTTAGGCTCTGCTTTTGGTATCAAACTCATCACATTCTTCAGAAGATCTTTGCTCACTCTCACGAAACGTGACAACATTCAGAGCGACGTTTCCTCTCTGCAGACATTCCTTCCAGTGTCCGGCAGGATCCTGCTGCTTTGCCATCTAGGAGAGTGCTGCTTAAGCTCCCAAATGCCAGGCTAATGAGATTTATCAATTCAGGTCAGAAACACGCTACCTGCCAGGCAAGGGCTCCTGCCGAACACCCGACGCTAGCCGAGCACATGGGTGTTCTCTCATTTGAGGCAGCACAGTCCCAAAGGGTGGCTTCCACACGCGGGATGAGGTTTAATTCGCTCTCGGCACTCGTCTCCGTAAGTGCTGCTGTCACCAAAGACCTCAGCTGTCCCTGTGTGCTCGCAAGTGCTAATGGCTTCATGGCCAGGCGAGTGTGTTCCCCAATCTGATTAAAAACAGGCTTTTCCTGCCAACTGTTTAGACCTCGTAATTCCAGTGCATATAATCAGATTTCAAGACCCTCTACAGATGAAGCTGTCTGGAGACTGAATCAGGGCAGTCTAAATCTGTATCTGAAAATTAGTCTTACTCATTCCCATCTGCCACAGCGGGAAACTGAGAGTCTGTTTTGCGAGGTAAAGTTCTTCCACCACGCTCTAGTCAGGGGGGACAGCACCGTGTTGCTTTAGCATTAGGGTTTTGTGCCTTGGAGAGGGAAGATAACTACTTGCCATTCAGGATAGCAGTAGAAAGCATTCCTTCCGGCAGGCGGCACACCTGACTGTATTCAAGATGGCACGTTAAGAAGCAAAGATGAATATTATTCAAAATAATTTATTTTCTAGGAAGACAAATAGAAGGAACTCTCAGTACTGTAAGCCGTGTCCAACTCATGCTCTTATGGAAGATGTTCGCCATCTTTCCGTGTAAACTCCAGCCACTCCATGATTTTGTCCAGCCTTCTGCTGGATTGAAGACTAAATGTGTTTGAAGTCTTAAAACTAGGATCAACGACTCTGTTACCTAAGCACTTCTTCCCAGAAGGAAGCAAAGTACTTAAACCAGGCAGACAATAAAATCCTCGTTCCTTGAGGCTACCCAGTGATATCCAAATAGAGATCAGGATCATGGGAAGTCATCTGCAGATAGATTCGTCGGGAAAGTTCGGGTCCAATCCGCCGAGAGGTGGCTGTCACACCGTCACCGCGGCGCACAGGAATATTAGCCAGCAGGTTTTCCTGCTCCCGCTCTGAGGAGCACCTGCTGTAGGCCTAAAAGCAATACAAAGGAATGATGGTATCCACCCACTGCTCAAAAAAAGAATGAAAGCTACGCGCCTGTGAGTGCTCTGAACTTCCACAACGCCCGCTCGTCCCTCGCCTGGCCTCTCCCCAGAGCTCATCTGGGAGCGTACAGGCTGACGCAGAGCCAACGCCGCCCCCTCAGTAGTCTGCTCTGCAAAGCCAAAGCAATGGAGGCCAAGGGATCCGTTCCTTCACTGCCTCCCTAAACAGCTCGTACAGAATCCTTGTGTCAGATTTAATACCAATTAAATGATTTCTACCACTCCTTACATCAGTTGGCTGTTTTCACACAGTACTCAGTGTTCCTGAGGTATCCTTACCTGGCTGAGAAGCTGAGGAGAAGGGTACACAGACACAACAGCCTCAGCCATCTCGATGCTGACACGGTTAAATTGTTGTATCTGCCTCTTCCAAACTTCCAAGAGACCCTTTCCCGAATGATCCACCTTCACCCCTCCACACCACCCCTTCTCTAAGTAGAAAGAGAACCCCGTCTTCTCTCGCTGTCGCCTAGGGAGAGCAAAGAATGGGAAAGCAAATGAGACACCCAGGCTACAAAGAAAATCCTGTCCCTGCATCTGTCGTCACGCAGCCAGAGATAGAGTGCCATTTCTCACTCCGTGCTGCTGTAGACACCGTTGGCATCAAAGTCAATGCTAAACATTTGAACTTATTTTCTTCACATGCATTACAAATTTCCTTGTTTAAGACCAAGAATTCCTACTGGAAAAGGATCCTGTACTCAGGAGCAATCCTTACACAAGCCAACAGGCGTTCAAAGCAGTAAACAAGAATTCACTTTCTGCCTGTCAACCATAATAAAACACTTTTTCGTGTTATTTTTAATGACATCTCATCTCTCCTCATGGCTGAGATGTAAAATACAGCAGCTGCTGCGATAGGAATGCTAGGATTGCGTGAGACTGCACAAGATGGCTTTCTTAGCCATCGCTGTGCAACTTGCTGCCGTCCTTCCCAGCAACGTCTCTCGGATACATAGTGATGAAGAAAAGCTGGTGCTGTAAGAGCCCAACCTTCCTTGCATTCCCTTCACACTCCCAAAATCAGCCTGAGAACAAGAGAGTTACTTGATGTCAAGACTCCAACGTTAAACTGTGTCTATCCTCACCCCTCCCCAGGCAGGACATCAGTTTCCAAGAACTAAGCCTGTGTTGGAGGAGCTGCATTAGCGGCTGCTCTGTGTCACCTGCTCCTTTAAAATCATTACACTGTGTTGTACTGAGGTGCAGCCGTACCTGCTCTTCCCTCCCCGCAACTATGAAAGTGCAGCCTCTCCAAAGATAGGACCAAACCTCATCTGCTGACTCACTTGAACGGTGCTTCGGCTACAGCTTTTGTGAACATAGTGGCAAACTCTCCCAGCTCCTCCCAGCTCTCAAAAAAGCTGACTTGAACTTGTTTCCCCAGCTGCAGATCCACCAAGGCCTGTAAACATCATCAGAAACAACAAATGGAACAATTAATCTTCTCACATCAAACTCCACTCTTGTCCGAAACGAAAAGGGGTCATAACATCTTGCTGTAGGACAAGAACATCGACTCCCTTCCCATTTTGGGAACAGTTCATTTAAGGCACTGAGTATTTGGGGCAGCTTGTGTCCTGCCAGTTCGTATCAGTTTAGTGCCATTTTGGCTGCCGCAGCTCTGCAGTGGCAGGCTCGTTACACGCAGGCCAGCCAGCTCAGCAGGCTGTGAAGGGTGAAGGTGCTGAGGCTGACAGCAGAATCAGGGTGAACAACACCCGTGGGTCTGTGGGAGAGCAGGTATCTGGCTGAGCAGTGGGGAACCGAACCCAAAGAGTCTGTCCATAAACATGTGGACTGACAAAGGCTGAATCCCCCCCATCCAAGAAAGTGTGTGATTAGGTCAAATGTTCAAACAATGGCAGACAAGAGATGATGACTGCATATCTGTTTTAAAGGTACTCACTTCTTCCATGTCCATTCTGGATATCTCCAGGCCAGAACCCTTAACATCCTTTTTTCTTTGTTTCCTCTGTTCCTCTTCTTGGTTTCCACTCACTGCTGCCTGTCGCGGTCTCTTTTTCGACTGATCCTTGAGAGACCTAAGAAGAGTAAAGTAAGACTGGGAGTTCATGCTCTTCCCCAGGTATTTCCCATTGGTCCCTCTGGTGACAGGCTGGATGGACTTTTGCTCTCATTTTTATATAACAAGTAGTGGAGCAGTTCCTGGTTGGAATACCTCTTATGGTCTAGTCTTTGCTAGAAGGAATTAATGTAAACACCCACGGTGCTTTTCAAGGCCACAAGACAACATAGAAATGTTCGGAGGGAAAAAAAAAAATTAACCTGAAATAATTTTCTACTCCAGCTACTGCCAGTGCTAGAATTTTCCCAGGCATTTGCTCCATCGCATGAGCTACATAACTCTGTAGGGTCTCCTTCTGTCCTTCTGTACAGCCCTGGGCCTCCTGCAGACATCAACAGGAAAAAGCAGTTAACCCATTCTGAGTTACACATCCAAGCCCAGACAACATATGGCTCCAATTTTGCAGCTGGGCCTGCAGGTGAAAAAAGTCCCACAGCTCTTCAAGGGCAAGGGAGCAATACTTGATGCAGTATAAAGTTATGGCTGAAATAAATAAAAGTAATTTAAAAAATCCCACTTGATCTGACAATGTTACCTCTTCAAAACTCTGTGAATAATTGTAACTAGGAAAGAACGCTTGTCAGGACTTTGCATTATACAACCCCAGTGGTTTTGATCTATTAATAGTTTCTACAACCAGATTTCTGGTTTACTGAAACCATGGCCCCACCCCACATGAAAACCTTCCTGCCACGAAGAGGGGTGACAAACACCACCCGTTACAGCAAGGCATGTTTGAAAGCACAAAAGCCATAAGCACTCTCACTTGTACGTAGTTGTGAACCATGGATAAAAACTCCTCCAGGCGAAGCAGAACCAGGACATTTGGTTCTTCTGTCCATTCGTCTCCTTCTTCCACCTGTCCAGATACAAAAACAGCCAGACCAACAGTCTGTTTATGATTCACTCACTCAAACTGGTGCTCCCACTCAGAATCAGGGAGAGCATTAGAGGGCACTTACTTGGGTTGCTAAATACAATTACTAACGAGTGCAAATAAAAGAGGAAGAAAAGGGCAAGAGCATAAAGATTTTGTTCCCACACCTGAGGTGACACAGTCTTTCTCCTCCAGGTGATGCTGCAGGGAACAGCCTGACTCTCAACCACACAGGAATAATTTGCAGCCTGCAAAGCACTAAGGATCTGTCCACCACTGTCAACCTGCAAGAGAGCTGAAATCACCCCATGGGTCAGGCCTCCACAGCAAGAGCTGACAGCCACGAACCGGCAGATGCAGGCTGGGAGGATGAGTACCTGGATGTAGCACCACTGTTATGTATTTCTGGCACTCTCCCGGTCGCTGAGCTTTCAGCATCTTGGCAAGGGCTCGCTTCTTCTCTTTTTCCTGCTCCTGCTGCCTCCTCTGTGCTTCTCGCTCCTTCCTCCTCTGCCACGCAGCCTGGCACACTGCCTCCCTTTCCTTCTGACTGTATTTTACCTTCTTGGGAAGCGGGGATGTTCCTGGGCATCCTCCGCTTACCAGGGGTGTATCAGGCTGGTCTGTGGGGTGAGATTGAGGGGCTGGCAGCGGGCACAAAGAAGGCCTCTCAACGCCGCACGTGCCATTCTGGCTGCCACCAGACGCTGCTTCAGATGACGCCAGGGCCTCCCGCCACCCTCTGCTGCCAGGTACCAGCAGGTCACCGCCAGCACCAAGGCCACCTGCCTGCCCCCCGCTCGGCTCGGGGGGCTCAAAGGCCGCGTCCCTCTTCGCTTCCACCCTCCTCTTGATCCTCTCGGGGAGAGGTACCACCTCCACTTCGT